AGGGAAAGAGAGTGAGGAGAGGAAGGAGAGGGAAGAGACAGAGAAGAAAGAGGAGAAGGAGGAGAGTGAGAAGAGAATAGGAGAGAAGAGAGAGGAGAGGGAGAGAGAGAGCAAGGAGAGGAGAGGAGAGGAAGGATAGGGAGGAGAGAGAGGAGAGGGAGAGGTAAGAGAGGAAAGGAAGGAGGGGAAGAAGAGGGAGGAGAAAGAGAGTAGAGGGGAAGAGAGAGAGGGTGAGGAGAGGAGGGAGAGGGGGGAGAGAGAGGAAAGAGAGGAAGGAAAAGGAGGAGAGAGAGAGGGCAAGGAGAGGACGGAGAGAGAGAAGAGAGAGTAGAGGAAGAGAGAGAGAGGAGAGAGTGAGAGGAGAGAAGAGAGAGAGAGTGAGGAGAGGAGAGAAGAGAGAGTAGTGGAAGAGAGAGGGAGGAGAGAGTGAGAGGAGAGAAGAGGAGAGTAGAGGAAGAGAGAGAGAGTGAGGAGAGAAGCGAGAGTAGAGGATAAGAGAGAGCAAGGAGAGGAGAGGAAGGATAGGGAGGACGGAGAGAAGAGGGAGGAGGGAGAGGTAAGACAGGAAAGGAAGGAGGGGAAGAAGAGGGAGAGAGAAGAGGAAAGCGAGAGAGAAGAGGGGGGGAGAGAGAGGGTGAGGAGGGAGAGGGAGAGTGAGGAGAGGGAGGAGGTCAGGTCCAGCGTGTGGATCAATACAGAGCTGGAAAGTGCACGAGCTCTGTCCGTCTCCCGGTGAGAGGAGGAGAAGTCCGAGAGGAGGAAGAGCGGAGGAAGAGGGAGAGGAGGGAGGAAGAGGATGGGAGCTCAGAGGTGCACCTGTCTGTCTCCACGGGGATGTCAGTGCTGTAGTTAGAATGTTCCACAGTACGGCGTTATCTTGCCTAAATAGAAACAAGCGGTGGACGTTACCAGGCCGATCCATGTGACAAGTCAGATCTGTGGAGAGACGCCCACTACAACAAGAACACATGGATGTAAAAATGTAACTAAACCCCCTGACCCTGTGTCTCCATGAGGTCAAAATATGTCCACTGCATCGGATTATAAAGCTATTTCCTGTTTGACAATCAGGATGTTGTTTGTTAGCATGCTAGTCATTGTTAGTATCAGCGCTCTGGCCTCTGAACATTGTGAAAAATGCTCCTACACTAAAAGGTGTGAGTGAAGAATAACTCTGGACTCTAACTTTCAGCGACAGCATCTTTAAAGCTCACATTTGAAATTAGACTTACCCTGTTGTGTTCTCACATATCACCATTAGTGGAAGGGGAGGGGCGACGTGAGGGGAGGGGTCAGGTGAGGCCAGGTGAGAGGAGGGGACAGGTGAAGTTAGGTTAGGTTAGGTTGCTTTATTCGTACCCATAGGTAAGGAGGGACCAGGTGAGAGGAGGGGTCAGGTGAGAGGAGGGGTCAGGTGAGAGGAGGGGCAAGGTGAGAGGAGGGGCAAGGTGAAAGTAGAATCCAGGTGAGAACAGGTTTCATATCTGCCATTTATTGTAAAAAATAATTAAATAAATAAAATACATATATATAATACAAAAAATAAACAATATGCAGGTGAGGGAAGGGGCCAGATAAAGGAACGGGCCAAGCCAAAGTAGAGATCAGGTGAGTGGTCAGGTGAGTGGAAGGGCCAGATAAAAGGAGGGGACAGGTGACAGTAGAGGCCAGGTGAGTGGCCAGGTGAGGGGAGGGGCAAGGTCAAAGTAGAGGCCAGGTAAGGGGAGGGGTCAGGTGAGAGGACAGGCTAAGTCAAACTGCAGGGATTAATGCTCAATGCTGATTTTTTTGTGAAATCCGATGTTTTTTCGAGGTCGTTCACATTTCCAATTAAATGTGACTTGTATGTGACTCCAGTGTGAACATTAAACGGCCCAAAAGTGTCCCACATGTGCACTGGAGACACGACGACGTCAACCACAGCGAGCGTCTCTGTGTTTACAGAAGTTGTCCAAACATGGACGCAGCATCGAGCACCTGGAGATTTTAAAGTTCCTCTCGTACCGGAGCCAGAACATGAACAACTTACTTGTTTTAAGGAGGAGATTGAGAAGGAGAAGGACGAGGTTTTTGGTCGTGGTGTTTTGTGGGACAGTCCAATGAAAGGAACGTGTGGATGTGGAGACGTAGTCAAGAGTGGTGAGTGGTGATGTGCTTCACTTCAGTGACATGGAGTTCATTAACAATTTTCACCTACTTCAGCGCAGAATAGTGACGTTTGTGTCTTGTTGATAACGTGTAGGTGGATGAATGCACTTTGACCGTTCAGACTGAAGTCACATGTCAAAAGATCAGATATGTATCAGTTTCAGGAGCACATATCCAAGTGTCCTGGGTCACATTTGAAAAAATCAGATCTGTGTGGTTCAGACTGTCATTAAAAGATCAGATACAGGAACATAGGGGCCAAAAAATTGGATATGGGTCACTTCAGGCTGCAGTCTGAACGCAGCCTAAGTGAGGGGAGGGCTCAGGTGAGAACAGGTTTCATATCTGTGATTTACTGTTAAAAAATACATAAAATAAAAAGACAAAATCATGCAGCTGGCAGCTTGAAGCGTGTAAAGACACCTCTTTCACTGTTTACAATGCAACAATGTGATAAAGCAGGTGCTTGGTCAAACATAACCGTGTAATCTCAAACCAGGTCACATGTTCTGTACGCCGCCCCGCTCCTCTACTCTGATGCATTGTTTGTGAAAGCGCACATCTAAAACTCCAGCTCTGTGCCAGCCTTTTCCATGCCCACCCTCCACGGACCGGAGAAGCATCTGTCCAATCACGTTAGCCTGCCAAGTACCAGCGCCCTTTGACCTTCAGCTCACAGCCCCCCCTAGAGGCCGGGCTGAGCACTGAGTGACAGATGGGCTCCCGTAGTCAAGAGTGGAGAGAGTGCGTTTAAAAGCCTCACCGCGGGGTTTCGCTCGCTTCTTACTGCGAACAAGAGCGGTTTTAAGGGGGGTGGGAGATCTGCCAGAACATTTCACAATATTCTACGGCCAAAATTACAGTTAGGTGATCACCATCGAGTCGAGTCAAATAGAACGAGATAATTGGCAATAGAGAACTCACATTGGACAGTGTATACAATAGTACTTTTTATAAGGTCACAGTTTTATCCAGCGCTTATCCTCCTTCAAGAGCATTTTATACCAGAGTACACAGACACTAATCACACCTCCAGCCCTTGAGTCAGTGATTTTGACCGTTCTGCCAGTGATGTTTATGTCTAGAGTGGGATTCGAACCGCCAACCTCAGTGGACAAACACTCCACCAACTGAGAACCATTTGTTGCTGAAGTGTGAAAAGTATAAAGAATCAGAGCCAAACTACAAAACCAAAACACCAAACTCTAATCCTCTTTCACTTCAAGCGCCAAACAAGAAAATACACGACAGGATGTTTAGTGGTCCAGCGTGACCAGAGGCACATGTTTGGAAATCTCCACTGAAAAATAGTTCACTTTTAGCTCAGATGCCACACATTAAGGTCTAAAATAAAACACCAAACGGGTTACACAGTCAACAACTGGCCTCACTCAAGAACTTCCACTTTAAGAAATAATAAAAACCATACATATAACTTGTTGGAATCAGATTTTTGGGTTATTTGGTCATTATAAGAGTAATATGGATTTATTTTTGTTTGTTCCTGATGGTTTCTGATGGATTTGTTCTTGCAGAAAAATATTTTTGGTAGGATTAAGTGTTCATTTTGGAAATGTTTATAAGAAAACCTTAAGTACAAATCTGTACAAACAAGAATGGATCATGAATGAGGCCTTAAGACTTTTAAAGAGATGTGGTTGACACCCTCTGGATTAGTCATCATTTATGCTGATGTACAAACAGCTACAACAAGGACAGGATCAGGGATTGGCTGCTCTGATGTTCTGAAATTTTACTTGGACTAATCAACTCACTAAATGCTTGTTAACATGAGCAACGCTGCATTTACTAATAATATTTCTATGGCAAAAAACTATTGAAAATACTCATATTTAGATTTGAGATATGATTTACTATATTATATTTCCTATAGCAGTGTTTCCCAAAGTTTTTTTTCTAGTGACCCATATTTTAAAAGTCACAAACCTTCACGACCCAAGTCAATAAACATTATTCATAAATCACAAAATAAAGGTGGATTTGACCATCACTGAACATTAATGAGGATATTTTATTGTGTATTATTTATTAAACAAAGTGATCGTGTGTGTTTGTGTTTTACTTTTTTGTCTTTGTTTATTTATCTTATTTTGCATTTATTTTATTTTTTAATGTTATGCTTTAGTTTATCTTATATGTATATTTAGATTTATTTTTTGTTATTATTTGACCATTTTATTTACACATGTTTCTGTTACGTAAGGCATATAGAATGTGAATTTAAATTCCGTTTATTTAATGTGTGCGTATGTATGTATGTACATGTATGTGTATATATATAATATATCTATTATCTATTTTTCTTTTTATTGTTGCTGTTTGAGAGTGTTTGTTCTAAACTGAAAATGTGAATAAATAAAGTTACAAAAAAAAAACAAAAAAACAAAGTGGTCATGTCTCTAAACAATTTGTTTTTCATTGTTTAAAACTTGAGTAATACAGTCACTGAAGCAGCAATAAAACATCTCCATACGTCACCTATTTGGACATTACATGTAGCCTGTTTCGTTTTCTTTTCAACATTAAACCAGCAATATTGGAACAAAATGGCAAATGGTCACAAAAAGAAATGATACAAAACATGTCTTAACATTTCAACATGTGTCAGAACTGTATATTGCAGACGCACATGTAGATCGGACAAGGCGACCCCCAAATAACATCTCTTGTGACCCAGACTTTGGGAAACAATGTTCTACAGCGTTCCCTCATGAATTCCACTGACACTGTTCAGTGAGTAATCTATATTTTCAGACGTCTCATTGATATAAGTCTGTCTGTATCCTGAAAGCCTCTCAGAGTTCCTCCAGATGAGAGTAAGAGCAGAGTACCTGGTGTTGAAACACGGGCACGGCCGCCTGCTGTCCTTGTGTCTGCGTGTCCATATCCATAGTGACCAGAGTCTGATCCTTCACACCGCTGCAAAACAAAACACACACAAAAACAAATGAATTATCCAGTACGGCCTTGACCACAAACACCCCTCTTCCACTGATCAATACCCACTCACACGCTCACACACTCACACACTCACATCTCAGCGTTAAATAACATCAAATAAAACATCAGATGGAGCAGGAGACGGTCGCGAGGAAACGGACAATAACGTTTCGAATTTCAGCCCTGCAAGATTCGCGTCATGCCTGTGGATGTGACACCGACAGGGGGCCGGATCAGGTTACAACAAAGTCCATTTAAGAACGCTGCGATTTCACTCCAAACAAAAGAGGAGATAACACGGCTTTGTATGTCCTTGGCGCTCGTCCAGCTCTTTTTCTCATTGAATTAGCTTTAGCGCGTTAGCTCCGTGATAACTGGAGGTCACGCGGAGGTGGCGCTTTCGTACTTTGGCTTGTGTCCTGAACGCAGCGTGAGGCGTTCGGGAAAAACAGACGCTACACGGGCCGGAGCAGAACATGTTTTAGTACAATGGTTTAAGCAGCAGGATCAGCGCAAGGTGGAAATAACAAATGTTAGAGAGATTTGAGCAGCTTATGAACCGACACCGTGACCTTGCAGTGTCAGTGCAGAAATGTGCATGGAATTCTATTTATTTAACAATGAATATGTCACTTTTTATTATTGTATTGTTGGTGCAGGCATAGTATAACACAATGATAAGCCACGGTGTGTAACGTTTTAGTAAAAATATAGACTAAAATAAAGCTTTCCAAGTTATTTTGGGCTCGATTCAGGCTCACTTCACAAAAGCAGAAAAGTTTGGAAACATGCGGATGACGACTTCTCTGGTTGCAGTAGTAAATCAGGGGTAATGGCTCGATTTCCTTCATCTACATTCATTTGTTTATTATAATTGGTGTAACTTAATTTAAAAAAAGATGTGACTGTAACGTTCCGTAAGTGACATTGATTCAATCCGAGTCCCGTCCCCCATGGAAAGTTTTGGCAGGTTGTGAAGACGCTGCTGCAGAATCCACAGTTTTATCACGTGCCCAGTGTCGGGAACAACACCGGAAGTCGTCATCTACATGTTTCCAAACGTCTTCTCGTAAGAGTGATTAGAGTCTATCACACTGAAAAAAAAAACCAGAAAAACATGCATCCTTATGGTGGCTTGCATCTCCACAAACCTTGACCTCTTACTGACTGTATCCATGAAAATGTTGTTTCTTTATCCATAAGCTTCCTCATTATGGCATGAATGTTCCACAGTATGGTTTTAACTTTCTATTTCCATCTAATCAAGAAGGTGACAGTGTGTGTCTTTAATAGTATTCATGAACCAGCAAAACTCTTTTTTGACTTTTATATTTTTAGAACAGTTAATTTCTCCTTAAATCTGCTGGTTCCTCTGTGATAAAGTGGCTGAGGCATTAATCAGGATCGTTTCTGATGCCAATTCCTAAGTGTATTTTAAAATGTTAAACGTGCATTGTGTAACTTTTCTGGTGGAGGCTCTGTCAAATGCTTCATCTGGAATGTTCCACAGTATGGTATTAAATAGGGGTGCAAGAAAACATTGATTCGGTGATATATGAATGAATGTTTAGTCGGACAGTAATACATAGAACATAAATAAAAAAACAAATACAAAGACATAACACAAAAAGTAAATATTTCTATTCTATTCTATAATAACAGGCAAAATAAATGTTATACTGAATTTTCCTTGTGTCCGAATGATATTTATGATATTACATTGCACAATGCTTGAATCCATTCAAAATGTGTCTGAATCATTTTTTTTAAATCATATTTTTCAGAAAAATTGGTAATGCACACATCTTTCTATCTTCATGTAGACCAAACTAGACAAAGTCACAGGTCAGATCTGTGGAGAGGCGAACCCACTCACAGTCAGAATGTCTGTTTTTCAAGGTGTTTTTGAGTTGTAAAAGCACCTGTAATGATTAAATGTAAGGTAGAGCTGTTTAATGCCATACTGTGGAACATTCCAGACAGAGCGATGATATTTCCATAGAAACAAGCAGGTGACAAACACCCAACCACATAACCCCAAGTTACACAGGAAAAAGACGTCAACTTTCTCATCCACCGTTTCATCTGGGACTTTTCAACTTCAACTCCAGAACTCCGTTACCCATAATCCCCTTTTCTCCAGTATAAATTGTGCTTGCCCTAATTTGGTACATCATCTCTTGTGGCTAGTTGCAATTGTGTGAAAAAAACTGTTATAGCATCAAGAGTGAAAAACACCTTGGAAGAAAGGGCTGACTCGACATAATTATAATATATACAAAACACACGCACGCAGCATCATCCATAATACAAGTGTTACCTGAATAATTTACAAATATCCTTGAAAAATATGACGCAAAAATGAGATGCACACGTGAAATTAGCCGATGAGTCCGTGGATTTACGTGAGCTTTTGACAGACGCTCAGGGTTCAGCGTTATCTCTCTACTCTGACATTAACATGCTAACGTAGCTTAACAATTAGCTAGAACCAGCCTATTTATAATTCATGTTTCAGACCCCACATGCTCAATATGCAATAGGAGCCTGTGCCTCCTTCTACAGGAGAAACACAAGCTACAGTGGGCAAATCAAACCCAAACTAATCCATATTAAAGCTGGAGTCAAAGGTCCACACCAGAACAACTATCAGTCTGAAAAAAAACACATGTGGACCTTTCCTGAATATTTTTGTAAAGGTCTTGGCTGTTTATCAGATCTAGTAGGTGTTAAGCTATTAAACACATTTATAATTTAAAAACTGTTTTGTGTTGAAAATACATTCCAGTGTCTAAAAGCAGAAGTATATTAAAGGACTGTAATGATATCCAAGTCTCATGATCTTACTTTAAAACTGTAATGTGTTATTTATGACTTGTCACTGTCATTTCAAAGTCATTTGTTACATTACAATATTATTGTATTTAAAATGTAAAACATTACATTACTATTGCATTACTTTTAAGTTACTCTCAACAAAATAACTGTGAAGATGCTGAACTTTTGCGCCGTATATGGACTGAACCAGGACTATTCCAGAGCTGAACCAGGACTGAATCAGGACTAAACCAGGTCTAGACCAGGCCTAAACAGCAGAGAGTTCTGTGCCGGGCCTTTCGCCCGTGGTTACCTCTCCGGTGTTTCACCACTGCTGATATCGTGGTGATTTTAGCAAATTTGTATGAAGAAAAACCCACCACTTCAACCCAGGTTAAAAAAGCAGTGTAACATGCGTTACTCACATTTGTACCGAGTAAATTATTTATTTTTTTCCCCTGTAATGCCGAACATTACTGCGTTACAGCAAAAAGCAATGCATTACAGTATTTCAATACTTTTATAACGCGATACTCCCAACACTGAAGATACGATATCTCGGTATGAACCTCACGGTACGATATTTATTGAGATATCATGGGAAAGATCATGATTTGATATATTATGATGGTCCACGATATTATTTGATGAAATGATATCACAATATTTTGGTTATTGTTACATCCTAATGTATCTGTATATGTATTTGTATCTGTATCTGTATCTCTGTATCTGTATAAGTATATGTATATGGTATAGATATATACAGTATATGGTCATAAGATTTAGTACAAGGCATTATGCATCAAAAATACTATTTAAAGACTTGTGCAGAAACATACATTCTGATGTCTCAAAAGTGTTTTATAGTATTACAGCGACTTTTTATTTTATTACACAGACACATATTATTTACAACAGTGCTCCTCAACACCCGGGCCCGGGACCGTACCAGTCTGTGGGTCGTTTGGTACTGGGCCACACAGAAATAATAAATAACTTAAATTATGTCTGTTTTATTTATTATCTGAGTCTGAACAATGTTTTTTATTTTGAACAATGACCAAATTCTCTTGTGTCGGTCACGTGACACATTAACACTAATATTAAACCCGCGAGCTGCAAAATGAGTAAAAAAAAAACAGACGTCTTCGGAAACATTTATTATTATATTTACAAAAGACCAGTTTTTGAGTTGGTCGTATTTATCCTCCACACCTTACAGGCCGCTCCATGACAATATAATCTGACATTAAACCGGTCGTGGCACAAAAAAGGTTGGGGATCTATGACTTACAAAACAATAATGAGCCTTGTGATAATACAAATGTGTTTTAGTTTTATTTGTGATACATTGTGCAGCCCTACTCAATTCATTTTAAAATAAATCAAATAAAAGTATAAAAGTGTAAATATGTCGCCTCTAATGTCACAAACACACACCACAGAAGCCTTTGTTTAGTCCACACACAAACACACACAAGAGCAGGTTAGAGCACATGTGTGTCTGTGTGTGTGTGTGTGTCTGTGTGTGTGTGTGTGTGTCTGTGTGTGTGTGTGTCTGTGTGTGTGTGTGTGTGTGTGTGTGTGTGTGTGTGTGTGTCTGAACTCGTCTGTGTTTCTGATGAAGCAGAGCTGAACTGTCTCCTGAGTCCGGCCAATTAAAAGTCCCCATGGAGACAGAGAGGTGGAGAGAGAGAGATGGAGAGAGAGAGATTGAGAGAGAAGAGATGGAGAGAAAGAGATGGAGAGAGAAGAGATGGAGAGAGAGAGATGGAGAGAGAGAGATGGAGAGAGAGAGAGAGAGAGAGAGAGAGAGAGAGAGAGAGATGGAGACAGAGAGGTGGAGAGAGAGAGATGGAGAGAGAGAGATGGAGAGAGAGAGGTGGAGAGAGAGAGGTGGAGAGAGAGAGGTGGAGAGAGAGGTGGAGAGAGAGATGGAGAGAGAGAGGTGGAGAGAGAGAGATGGAGAGAGAGAGGTGGAGAGAGAGAGGTGGAGAGAGAGAGGTGGAGAGAGAGAGGTGGAGAGAGAGATGGAGAGAGAGAGGTGGAGAGAGGGAGGGGTGGGCGAGCGAGCACACACACTAAAGGTTAATCAGGAGAATCCGACGTGTCCGGAGCACTGCTGATGTGCGGGGGATCTGTGGGTTTCAGACTGGCAT